TTCTCCCATGTAAACTATCACATAATTCACAATAAAAGTTAAAAAAAAAAAAAGATATATTGCAGTAGGCTAATCTGCTGCACAAGACCTCTTTAAAGTGTTCAAGAGCAAAGATGTCAGTTTGAAGACTAAGGTGTGCCTGATCCAAACCATGGTATTTTCAATAACCTTATATGCAAGTGAAAGTTGGACAGAAGAATTGATGCATTTGAGTTATGGTGTTGGAGGAGAATATTAAAAGTACCATGAATTGCCAAAAGAACAAATCAATCTGTGTTGGAAGAATTACATCCAGAATGCTCCTTAGAAGACAAGATAGCCAGACTTTGCTTCTCATACTTCGGATATACTACTAGAAGGGACCATTCCCTGGAGAAGGATATCATATTTGGAAAAGTGGAGGGTCAGAGAAAAAGAGAAAGACCCCAATGAGATGGATTAACACACTGTTATAAGCAATGGGCTTATGCTTAGCAAGATTCTGAAGCTGGCCTGGGATCAGGCAGTGTTTCACTTATTTGTGCATAATGTTGCTATGTGTGGGTGTTGACAACTAACAAAAACAACAACAATGTCTAAAGACTGTTATTATAATATAACCTATTAGTATACTTAGCTATAGCTATAGGAACTTACTTAGTAGAGTAATTATTATGCTAATGCTAACAATTACAGCTATCTTAAGAGCATTTTTTCAAGAGAATCACTCAGTGCTATAGAGATTATGAATAACTTAATTTTTTGATGTTTGGATACGTAACCTAATTCAACAAGTTCAACAGAGAAAACTGCATAATTAAAAAGAAGATAAATATTGCAAGATTAAAAAAAAAAAAAGATAATGAAAAATTTCCAAGACCTTTGTGACTCCCCGTTGTAACACAGAGCAAAAGGTTGCCCATTTCTGGGCCATCTGCATGATCCTTGGTCTATGTTAGCCCAGGGGTGGGGAATGTTCGGCCCTTAATAAGGGCCGCAAAATCACTTGGTCTGACCCACGAAATCATTTGGTCTGGCTCTGCCAAGGCAACCACAGTTTCAGCCATCACATTAGGGATGAGTGAATTAAATGTTTGACCAAATATAGCTGGCTAATTTATAATTTGATAATTTTGTACAGCCTGCGAATGATGTTATAAATTTTGGCAGAAAAAAGGTTCCCCACCACTGCATTGTTGTGGCCACTGTGTAGTCATGTAACTGACAAAGGAGTAACATGGATGATAAAACCATTTGGCGGAAAAGAGTATGTAGGCAGCTTTCACCCTCCCAAAGTTTATAATTCTGTTAAGATGATAAAAAATCAAACCTAAATCAACTGCTGGCAATCTTATTAACCAGTTTGCTTCCTAATAACAAATTTTTCTCCCACAAATGGGGGACATCTCGACGCTGCCAGTCTGACTTATTCAATGTTCTAAACTAAGGAGGTTACACCTACTTGGGTTTTAAGTATTTATTTATCATTAAAGCACTTGTCCTTCTCCAGACACTCTGGCCTCCTAGTACTGTTTTTTGCTTTCAGTCCTCTTTCTCAACAAACCATAGCAAGACATTCTTTATCCTGAGTTACAGAAATGGGACCTGATGAGGGCTCCGCTGCCTCCTCTCCTCTTGTAAATGACAGGGCATCAATTTCATCTCCCACGGTCCCTGCTTGCATAGCCTGACCACAGGATGACAACAGCTCATGAAGCTGCCAATTTCCCAGGTTTGAGCAGCACACATATCTCACCACAAACTCAACGATTTCCCCAAGATAAGGTCACAGGTGACATTTTTGTTTCTACTAGGGGGATATCTACCTTGTCCTACAATGGTATGTGACTCAGTAAGGATTCGCTGAACATCTATTATAAAGTACAGCAGGAGAAAGTATGTGACAGTGAAGTAGAAAATAAAAAAACACCTGGGCAGTAGATTTTACTTGGTGTTTCAGGAAGCTGAGTTCACCTGTGATGTACAACCAGGGATTCGGTGATTTCAGAACCTCAAAATTTCTGAGAAATTGGTCCATTGGTTATCCATCTAGTCTACCCCATCCCAGAATCTTAATCAAAAAGAACTGATACAATGAGCAAGAAATTAATTGGAAAATGGCCCTGATCTGATGGTTGGACTAACACCTCCCAGTGACAGCAGGATCCAAGGTCTCCTAGGTGATTTTTTAAAAATGTTTTATTGTGAAATATGTGGTAGTTTATATGAGAGAACATTAGTTTTACATTCATCCTATTGTATATCATTTCATTGCCATGGTTACAATCTCCTCCATGCATCATCAGCCAACCAAAGGGTACACCCTACAAGCCTGCACCCCTGTCGGCAGCACACAGCCCCTCTCCCTTTCTGGATCTAAAGTCTCCAGCTGCTCCATCTCTCCACACCATCGTCTCTGCCTCCATCGCAGGCATCACTGCTTCTCTGGGAAGGGTCCCGCTCTCCACTCTTCTCGTTTGATGATCCCAGGGACCTCTGCTCCTAGACTGCAAAGTCAATCACTCCCCTCCTTGCTACAAAATGTCCACCTTTACATTTCCAACTTTCACAATCAGTCCTGATAACAATTATTCACTATTGTATCACA